CATTTATATTAGCAAGAGTACATAATACCAGGGATATAATAGACTAATGTAACCGGGATTGGTTACGGACCGGAAATCAATTATCAGACTCTGTTATTATTCATTAAATTAATGGCAGCAATCAATGGCATCTTAGCAAAATGGCTGAATGTAAATTGTTATAACTAAAAAACCAGCAACAAGGAAATTTCAAAAACAACTTTAAACAATGTAAAAACATGTAAAGAGTCTCTTTATTGTAGTTTCATAGCAATAGAATGTGGTCTATTCTCCTGAGAGGTACGCAAAGGTCATACCATGGCAAACTGGTTTTTCTTGAATATTTCCTAAAGAACACTCTGGAGAAACAAGAGAAGTTGCCTAAACAATGTAATAAACTAAGTAACAACATTTCATGACAAAAATACACTCACAGAAACAAATATTTGGACTACAGAGGTACGCAAATGGGATTTTAGCCGCAAATTGAAGATTTAAACATTTTAAAACAAATATTAACTTACAATAACCTATCAGAACCTTAAAGCCGCCATTATAACTTTGCAGTAGATTTTTCATAAAGCTAAATACATCTTTAAAAGAGAAAAGAGCAACTTCATACTCCGTACATTCAAAGCGTCTAGAGACAGGAATGGATCCGATTAGTTATGTGGGTGGTTTTATATCTGTAATACGCATACGCATTACTCCCTCATGGACAAAAATCACAAAATGGCTGCCACCAACTGAGTGTTTTTCATATTTCTAGTGCTGTCTTTGTGGTTCCAGGCCTTTTTGCCTAGTTGTTTGCATGAGGTGGATCACTGATTAGACTAATAGAACCTTGCACTAGGTAATTTATTCTCAGACTGCTATAAATTATGCCTTTTTATATACTGTGACTATTGTGATCACCTATATAGAATGTATCTTCTAATTATTCTTGTGTGAGGAAATGGGCTTTTTAGTCTTTCCTGGGTTATCATTTGTTCCTTCCACCACAATTACTCATTTCAGAACTGTAAGTAATATGTCTGTCAATTTAAGCCTCATTATGGGGAATATGAGGGATTTAATAGGAGGTTCATCACTCTGAGAATGCCCCAGGGTAGGATTTTTCTCCAACAAGCCTATAGGAAGACTTTGCTAGTTTGACCAAGTTACGTTTCAAAAATGCTAAGTTTACCCAACAGAGTTGAGTTCAGTAGCAGTTGAGTGGTTGTTTAACGTTCCTTAAATTTAGTAGGGGATTTGACTGAAGGGAACGGCCCCAGAGGTAGTGATTTAATTAATTAATTAATTTGAAACCCCAACTATGCCCCATTATGACCTGTACTGGGATAGTGGAGCTTGATATTGATAAGTACACGCAGGGGCGGATCTAGGATTTAATTTTTGGGGGGGCAATTGTGAGATGGGAGGGGTAATTAGGGGGT